AAAACGGGAGTTACCTAACCCAGATTCATCAATCAAATGGCACCCTCAAAGTCTTACCTTGTCTTACCTTTACTCATGTTGATATCAATCTCGAACCTTCACGCCAGCTGGGGGGCCCGCAAGCTGTTGCAAACTTCTCAACCGGCACAGCCCACAATCCCTTCACTGCCTAAGCCCACACTGCCACTGCCCACCATCCCATTGCCTACACTACCAACAAATCCATCCCTTCCGCAATTGCCAACATTGCCGACACTTCCTACCGCCATTCCTAAGATGGCTCTGCCTCCACAGCTTGCAGCCTCACTTCCTACTATGCCTTCTTTCCCCAACCTCCCAACTACAATTCCATCTCTTCCTTTTGCCTCATCACCGCCTTCGAACTAGTTTGTGCCACATCATCATTCGACGACTTTGTCATTTTGGTTCAGTATATGATTGTATTTTATGATTGCATTGTTGTGTGCTGCCATTCTGCTTCATCGGAGCTTGCAGTAGTTCGATTCACTTTGTGTTGTGTATGTTGCATTAAGTTATATGTTTTCACTTTGCGAATCGGATTATGCCATTTGTTTATTTTCTCATATCACCTTACGCAACTTCATCTGTTACTGGAATGGAATATCAAGCCTGAGACAAGGTAAATAAGCTATTAAAAGTAATTACAAGACCTCAATGTCAAGTGTAGAATAATAGAAAGTTATTTCACAATTTCAGATCATGATAGTTACACTGCAGCAAACAGCAATTTGCATTTACCAATATTATAGGGAGACAAAGAAGTCAGCTAAAGGACAATAGAGAAATATTTATTAACTCATAATAGTGAAAATTTTATTAACAAACTTGTACAAGGCCTCCTGTTGCTGGATTGATACACTTCAGTGCTTATACAGAATGTATATCCACTGCAAATATAGCAGAAGAAGACCCTCAGGTGACAAAGGCTAGAAACAAAAATCCCAAACACAAACAAAAAAAATTTCAGATCAAAGACTGTAAAACACAATATCATGGGCACAACAGTTGCCGATTTAGAGCTTCTAAAAGTCAACTTTAAAAGTGAACATAACATTGTCTTTTCCATTATCATGAACTCCCTGATGGCCTCAATTTGAAAGGCATGAAACCGCACTCAATAACCATATTCAATTTAGAAGACCAGTAAATTCTGAAGTAAAAATAACTCGAGGAAGATTCACAAATTTTGTATAAATCTGAATCAAATAAGTAATGAAAAATGCAAGAACCACAATAAGAAACTAGGTAATTAGCCCCAGAACAATCACATAGATTCTGGATTTCATTATTGGCTTCGTTAATAGTCGTTATATAAAATGCCCAACATGTTCCGACAATATGTCTTATAATAAAAAAGGAGTATAGAAAACTTTATGTAACATGTTACCAAGTAAATAATTAAAAAAAAATAAAAATGAGAAAGTTAGCTCACAGCACTAATCGCCATGCCTGCCATACCAGAAATCACTACAGGTCACTTTACCTCCAGCATTCCCTCTAATACCGATTTCAATCCATTACAGTAGTGCTTGGCACCAATACTAATCGGCTTGTCATCTTCACAATTAAGATAGGATTCATAATTATTTTGAATGTATTGGCAATATAATTCAGTGCTGTTTTTAACTTTTGCATTAGTTCCCCTTAGTTTGGGTTGTTTAGGAATTCAATTATACTGTATTGCATAGTCTAGGGAAATATTATTGCAATCTGAATCACTGTATATGCCATATTAAGGTGTAAGTTAGGTTCTAGTTGATTATATCTCATGTTACCAGTGAGCAAAAATACTAATTTTGGCCAAATTTACCTCAAACATCTTCAAGTTCTTCTCCAATTACAACAAAAGGCAGACTGGCCCATTGAAAATGTCTTAATAAGGAAGTACTAACCAAAAAAACAAAACAAGAAAATGAGCTGTGAAAATCAAATATGAAATTATGAGAATTTTTATTTTTTATTTTATATTAACAGATATATAAGAGGATAGTACATATTTACCGCATATTACCACCTTATGTTCATAAATTTGATCGATTTTTTTTTATTTGCATTACAGTCTAAAATAGCATTTGCAGAAGACTTTAAATACGATGAAGGCTGCCATAAGCTGTCATCACTTGATATAAAACATATGAAGAACATTAAATACCACTGAATCTCTTTCATGTATCATATGATCCATTCTACTAATGTTAAAGTAGCGCAATGAAGACACTGACAGATTACTAATTACCAAAAACACA